TTATGAGCAGAGAAAGCTGACTTTCTTTTGCAGCTGAAAGGGATGCAAAAAGTAACTATTTTTGTTTCTGTTTCCATTCAAATGAAATATATTATTTCTTTTACGAGAGAATATGGATTTAAATAGGTAATTTCAATTCATCTTTCTGTTGGAAAAGAAATGTTAGAATTTGCCGTGTGAAAGTGCATGCATGGTAAAGATATGGGGGTGCAGAGTCTAAAAAGGAAATTTACCTATGCAACTTCTATCTGCATCATGACTTATATCCTATTTTGTAACATTAAAAAATCTGCCTTGACACACAGAGACAACATCATATTTTTTCTGAACATGCTTCAAGTTGGTCATCTATAGTGTGAATGGAGCTCTGTAGGGTGCTGTGAGTAACTGTGGTTTCAAAACGGTTTTGAAACCGGTTTCGGAAACACATGTTAGTTTTGAATGCCGTGGCCGGCCGACCCGGTTTCGAAACCGACACGTGATCCTCCGGCAAGCCCGGGCCTGCTTGATGCCCCAAGAATATCACCTGCACTCACCTGCCGAAGGCCAAGCAGGTGAGTTTCCCCAGCAGTGGAGCCATCTCTGCCACCAGCTGGCCTTGGTCCATGGTACGCTTCTCGGGGTTATGATACCCGGGCCTGTCCCCGGCTGCCAACTGTCAGCGGACCCCCCGGGCCGGCCGGTTTCGAAACTGTTTCGAAACCGGTTTCGAAACCGGTGTGAGTAATGCATTTTGCATTACTCACAGCACGTTACGACACCAACGGGAAAAGGTGCCCTATATCAGAAATGGGGGGAGCTTGCGACCCCCCATCAGGTGTGATATCACTTGCGCAGTGCAGGCGCCATTGACACCGCATAGGTCGACAGATCCGCAGTCCGGCTACTACTTAGCCTGCCTGCTCGGACCGAACGTCGACGACCGTGTTACAGACTTTTGCATAATGGAGTGCAGTCGTGATTTTGGATTTGTGTGACAGCTGCCACCTGTTTTGGGCTGAAATCAGGCATAAGGGGGCTCGGAAAGGCTCGGGAATGCCAGCCGATGGCACACTTATGCCAAAAATCAATCAAAAATGGCGAGAAATCAAAAATCGGACTGCATTCCATTATGCAAGACCCTGTATCACCGACATAACCACGCCACTGTTCGTCCTGCTAAGTATATCCCTGTGTCGCGCGCGAGCCGAGCAACAACACAACGATACCCAATGGAGTCAGTCACGCGTCGGTAGCGCTGAAATGACTCGGTCTGACTCATCCCCCATGACTCGCAATGACGTCATCGAGGCTCCACGTATATAAAGGGCGGGCTGCATCAGCGGCGCGCCATCAAACCACCCACATCGATTTTCGAACTACCACTACTAACACTACTACCACCATTCTGGCTGTTTGTACCTACCAATATGACTCCTACAACGCGTTTTGAGGGTGTTTCGCCCGCGGAACGCGCGTTGACATCTATCAGTGATCGTTTCGGCGATCACATACTCATACCCACACCCAATAAGGCAGGAGAAGGTGAGGCGACCGGACCGGGCCCGGGACGCGGACCGGCGCCGGCCTACACGGTCCGCCGGACGCCGCTTGACATGCCGGTCCCGGGCACGGAGGAGGCGCCGCGCATCTTCCGGGGGAAGCACAACCGCGTCGCGGCGTTCGTCGCGCACTTTGAGGCGCTGCTCGCGCAGAACAACGTGAGCAACGAGCAGGACAAGTGCGCGTTCTTGCTGTGGTACTGCGCGCCCGACGTGCAGAACGTCATCCGGACGATGGCGCACTTCCGCACGCCGAGCTGGGCGGGCCTGCGCGCGGAGCTGCTCGCGACGTTCGACGCGGAGCGCGCGCTGCGCGAGAGCCCGATCCGCCCGCGGGACCTGGTCACGTACGCGCGGATGGCGTGCGAGCAGCCGCTCGCGACCGGCACACAGTGGCGCGCGTACCTCGCGAGCATCGCCGGCAATCTCCGCGCGCAGGGCCGCCTGCCGGACCGCGTGGACCGGGTGCTCCTCTGGGCCGGGATCCACAAGGCGGTCCGCGCGGCGCTCGAGCTGCGCGTCAGCATGCTGCGCGGGTCACTCGAGGACACGAGCCTGTTTAGCAGGGAGGAGATCGAGGTTGCGGGGGCGCATTATTTCGCACGGCGGGATTACGAGGCATGGTTCATTGCCAAGTATATGTAAATATGGTTGGATTGAATCAGCGGGCCACCTTCAATGAATCAATTACTTACTATGTTCTGCCGTTTTCTGTATATAGCTTTGTGAAATTGTAATCGCGGGCCTGTCACGCCGGTCCCGTTGATCAACATTTATTTGTTAGCTTGAATGACCTGTTGCCATGTCCCGATATCAACAGTCACTGCAGGAGTTCGGGAATAAACGGCGCCCCTTTCGATCGATTATACACTTAAAATCCATGCACTAAAAAAGAAAAAAAATTATGCCTCTATTTGCACCCAAAAAAGATTGTTCCAAATTTGCCTGCTTATATAAGAAATAGATACTATAAACAGACTCAGTTTTGTCACCCACTTTGGGGGCAGATCAAACACCCTTTTCTAGACCAGCTTTTGCATCAAAATGGGGACCAAAAAATATGGTCCAGGGCCCTGATATATATTATATAAGTGAATATACATGAATATTTTTGGTTCTTGTTTTGATACAAAAGTTGGTTTAGAAAAGGCTGTTTGATCTGCCCCAAAACCGGTTGACAAAACTGAGTCTGTTTATAGCATCTATTTCTCATATAAGGAGGCAAATTTGGATCAATTTTTTTTGGGTGCAAATAGAGGTATAAACAATTTATTTTTTTGGTACATTGATTTTATGTATATAATCGATTGAAACGGGCACTGTTTATTCCCAAACTCCTGCAGTGAGTCAGCCCTACTCAGAAGTCCCGGCTGGCATAACAATAAGTCCGAGTTACAGATGTGTTATATATATATACTCCCCGATAGCCGGTGCGGTCGACAAAGCCGCCTATGCAGACGCAGAAAGCATGCGTCGTTGAGATGAGAAGCTCTGCACTGGCATATAAACGAAACGCGTCCCGCCGCCGCATCAGGGAAAGTGCTGACCGCGAGAGCAATGGCGGGCGCTGCGACTTACGCTATCGGAGCGCGAATCCCGTACGCATGCAAAGCTAGCGCTCCGTCCAGCAGCATCAGCTCCGCCTCCTCGCCAATCTCAGTTGCCATGGGGCGAAAAGATAAATTCGGGCTAATTTTGCCATTTGAAAATTGATTGATGCGCGCTTAATCGCCTGTTCCTCCCAAGTGCCTTCCAGCCGAGCATCATCCTCCAAGTCCTCTCTCCTGCGGCGACTTTCAATGGTCGCGGTCGCAGGGAGGCGGCAGGGGCGACCTTCATCGAATGCTGAAGGATCTTGGATGAGCGTGGTAAGAGCAAAACGAAGGCTCTGCAGCCTGAAAAGATGGTCAAAATGCGGTTCTTAGAACGGCAGAAACACACATTCAAGAGTTCCTCGGAATCATTCTTTCTACTTCGTTCACCGGCCACTCTTCCATCGTGCTTCCCAAGACAGGCTATATGGCGAGGGCGAAAGGAAGGCATAGTATGTCGGTAAAGGAAGGGTAGAGGAAGCGGATGGGAATTGAGCAATTGGATGGGAATTTGAGCAATTCCCATCCGCTTCCTCTACCGAGTTGGAGTATGCGCAAGTATTGAACAGACGACATCTGGCAAGAAAACGGACTTGAGAGCGGGAATACCAAGACGGCGAAGGGGACGCACCGTCATTTTCCATGCCAGACATCTTCCTAATTGGACCCTCAGCACCGTTCCCGTCGCGTGTTCCCGGTCGTCTCATGGGGGAACATGACTTCAGAGCACGCGAAACCGATTCATTCTGCGTGTATGACGAAGTAGGGCGCCATATATATTGGGTCTGTCGAGGAGAAGAACGACCTTCGGGTTGAAATAGAGCTTTGTCTGAGAAAGTTGAGCGGATGCGAGTAGCGCTGAAGAGCACAGGACGCGCCTTTCGGAGCTTGTTTTGGTCACTTCCTCACAAGACCTCGTTGTTACGCGCCAGTCTTGAGTCATAAGCTGGCATGGTGCCCAGCAGACCTCGCTGCCGAAGGTGTTGGAAGGCGGAGCGAGTGAATGCGGCGACCGAGCAGACAGCATCTAGTCAACAATGTGGGTTAGCGGGGAATACAAAAACTCTCAAAACAGGCGCACCATGCTTGGCCCAGTGGTGCTCCACGCCCTTCCCATCCACACGCAGCCTTATCTTCGTCGCAGGTTTCCGCGAGTAGTGACTTCTAGTGCTGGTGGCAGCCTGCTGCCTGAGGGCCGACGAAGTGCCTCAACAACGAGGACGCTTAGGAGAGCCGCTGTATCCGAGTCAGACACTGGGACAACTTTTCGAGGAAGAGCTTACCATCGGCGCTCTTCCGCTGTTTCTCTGCCAACGGCCCAGAGACGGGTTGGAGAATGGCTATCCAGCCGTGTGGTAGTGGTTAGGCCCACAGTTGCGCCATGGGAGCCGAAAGGTAGTGACTGGATCGAGAGGAAGACGTTGGGACGAGGAGAGAGAGTATGTGACCGGCGTGACCGACGTGACATCAAAGTATCAACAAACCTCATTCGAGAAACTTGGGGTCTAGATGGACTAGCTCAACTGAGGTGAAGTGGTCTACTAGTATAGACTCGCCCGGAGTTGCTCAAACTCCCCCTCAGGTCGACTAATGGACAGGTCAAATCCGGGCCCGGGGTCAACGGGGTCCGCGCTGTTTGCCAGCGCGCCTTAGTGGGAGCGTGATGGAAGGGTATGACGTTTGGCCCGCCACGGGGACGAAGTCACAGTCAGCTCATCTGCCCTGTAACTTAGCTCTTTCATTAGTACTCCCAAGACGTTTCCGGCGGCTCTTCTGGCTTTCGCCCACCCTTCTCGTATAAGAGTCGAGGTGTACGATCGTTTGCGCCCCTCTGTCTTTCTCACAATCCTCGTCTCTCTGAGTCTCTATGCGGACTTTCGCCGAATCCACCAAGGAGGTGCCCGCCTGGCAGATGCATCAGCATCGTCCCAGTGCGACGCCGACAGAAGACATTCGCCCTTCATTGGACGGCATAACCGCCCTCAGTCATACAGCGACAATAACGACCGCCGCTTGCCACTCTACGGCGGGTCTCACTCGAGCTGCATCACCGCTTCCGGCGGGCTGCACCTCCTCCTACCTCGCTGTATTCGGGGCGTTTTTCGCGCTATTCGGGACATTTGGCCAGATGAATGCATTCGGGACGTTTCAAGCGTGGTACGCGCAGCATCAGCTCAGTCATCTGGACGCCTCGACAATAGCGTGGATTGGCTCGCTGCAGCTCTGGATGTTCTTTTTCTCGGTGTGTGGCCAGGTGGCTTTGCTTCAGTGAGGTTACGGTTCAGCTGACGAGATCTTTTCATGGCGCGCAGGGCGGACTCGTTGGGAAAATCTTCGATATATACGGACCACGATGGCTAATGGCTTCCGGAACGATTCTCTACGTATTCAGCATCGTGATGACCAGTCTCTCAACACGATACTACCAGTATTTATTAGCTCAAGGGCTATTATTTGGGCTCGGAGTCGGCATGCTGTGAGTCATCATTCCGTTTGATTCATCTCCGACCGCTGACATGTGTAGTTTCTACCCGGCACTATCGAGTGTCGCCACTTATTTCAGCCGGTATCGCGCGACTGCACTGGGCGTCGCTGCGTCTGGCTCGAGTTTCGGTCTGTCCTCTTCTAGTAGGCCTTTCGATAAGCACTAAGTATCGTCCAGGCGGCGTCCTGTACCCGATCATGCTTCAAAGGCTATTTGAACGATATGGGTTCGCGTGGGGAGTGCGGATATCCGGGCTTGTCAGCGGCGTCTTGTGCCGCTATTGCGCTAATGACAGTGACGCGCTACACGCCACCGACAACCAAACAGTTCCCCGTGCTCGGCCTTCCGTACCGCAAAACGGCGTGTACCCTCATGTCGAGCTTTCGAGACGCGCGATTCCTTCTCCTGGCAGCTGGAGCCGCCCTCGTCGCGCTGGGCTTATTCATTCCATTCATCCTCATTGTCGACTACGCCCACTCGATTCCGTTCATTCCCGCCCACATAGACTTCCTCGTCCTCGCAATTCTGAACGCGGGCGGCGTCATTGGCCGGGTCGCGCCAGCATGTCTATCCGATGCAATAGGTTCTCTGTCTCGTCATGTGGCTCTTCGCCGGCTCGTCGCTTGCGCTTCTCCTCGCTCATCACGCCTTGTGTTTCCCAGATTCCGGAAATGCGGCAAATTGGATGCCGCATCGGGCTGCTCTGTAGTGCGATTTCTGTCGCGTGAGTCCGTTTTTGGGGGGTTATTTTATCTCTGCTGACTCTAATCAGCGCCGTCGTCGGGCTGCCCATTGCCGGGCTGCTTCTGCATGCAGACGTAGGCACGTATAAGGTCTTCGCGGGCCTGACCGTCATCTGCGCCTCGTTCTTGCTACTGGCTGCGTGGTAGCGGCGGATCAACCCGCGGCCGTGGGTCCGGGTATAGGGGGAGACGCTGACGGAGCGTACACGCTGGTCCCCCGCCAGCCGACGCAGCACAGACTGCGGAGGCTGAGACTGAGGCGGCGAGACGCCGGACGATCGCGGAGCGCATAAAATCGGGCATCATCATTCGGTTCGCTGTGGTCACCGGTGCCGGTGCCCGCGGTCGTCGCAGGACGCGGAGCGATATTATTATTATTATAATGGCATATGGACCCAAATCTGGGTACCGCCAAACTCAAGAGGCTGACGAGGGTGAGCTGTAAGCTCCAGGGCATTACGTCGACCCCCTACCCGCGCTCATGAGCCTTACAAAACATCACTACACAACCACACGCTCAGGCCAACGACCAATCGGCGCAAGACAGCAGCAGCGTCGTGAAACGGCTGGCCCTCGGAGGGCAGGACCACTGGATAAAACCCCCGTGAAAAACCTCATGGGAAAAAACACGGTAGGACGCAGGCGGGGTCCCCCCCCTCCTGCGTGTAAATCCCCAGGATCCACCGTTGTCCACCTGCGCCGGCCCGAAACTGGCAGTCATGCAGCTCCAAACAAAAACAAAACAAAACACACCACCACCACCCTGCCTCAGTCACCACGCTCCCCCACAGAATTCTCCCCCTCGCTCGAGGTACCCTCGTCGTCACTCTGCTCGTCGTCAGACAGCGGCGCTAGCTCGGAGGCCATCGATGGCAGTTTGCGACCGAACCAACTCCAGGCTTTGCAAACCCGATAGACAAAACGTGCCATTGGCACAACCGTCTCCCACGCAAAGATCAATACGCGGAGTTGTCGCTCCGCCTCTGCCTGTGACGTAGGCTCGCTTGCCAGTGTTGCGCCAAATCGCTGCCTCAGCTCCTCTCGCAACTCCACACGCAATTCCACCACATCGCGGGCCCTACACTGCAGGAACACATGGCCTGGCGTTTCCAGATCTTCCCCACACTTGCGGCACGTCACCGAGGCCGGATCGTGAGACGCGGGGTCTGAGTGTAGACCCCGGAAGTGGAAAGAGCCGCAAAGTAGACGGGTCAGCGCGAGGCGATGGTTTGTGTGCGCCACGATAGGAGCGGGGAGGAGGGGGGCGCGGAATGCGCCGATCGCCGGGAAGTTCGCGGGGATGGGCGGGCTGTGGATCAGTCGCACGTCCTCAGGAGATTGTTGGGGTGAAGGTCAAAGCGCAGGAGAGCGGGGTCCGGCAAGGCTGACGGTAGACATCCGGGGCTGGAACTTCTTTCCGTCCCAGCGCTAATGGCAGCACTGTGAGGGCCATCGCATCCACACGTGGATTCGCAGGGTCGACATATCGTGGGAGAGCCCGACGGCGGCGCCAAAGCGGGAAGCGTCAATGTGGCGGTCTCTGGTGTTGCTAGTCGTGTCGCAGAAATGTATATATGTCAGGAACAAGTCAGCCCACCTGCACTGCTGCTACTTGGCAAGTTGGTTATAATTATTGCAATCGCATCATTAATCATTTTCTGCTGTCAATCGTTAACAGCATGCGGAGGCAATGCGTATGAGGCACTGCGGCGCTTCTTGTCCGCATACTACCACCACCACCAGCGCTGGTGCATCCGACGTCCCTACCGATGGACAACAGGCCTCAAGGTTCACAACCGCATTTTGTTCTCAATATCAGTGGTGCGTGTACTTGCTCATGAGTGACATTTGAGGAATATTGACTGATCCAGGTGGTCATGGAGGAGGTGGTGGGGAGGGGACAGAACAAGGTGGAAGGGGTGGAACTGGAGGGGGGACAGCCATTACTGGCAGTTTCAATAACAATTACTATGGATCCTTACCCAGGTGAGTTATTATAACAAGTGCGGCAATTGAGCTGATTAAGCCAGAGCCCTGGATCAAGACAGTGAGTTCACTCTTGTATAATGTAGCTGAACTGCATGTCTTGTAGAACCATATCATGGGTGTCCCCGCCCTGTGGATAGCTTCACAGGTCGCAAAGATATTCTTGCTCAACTGGCAGATTTCTTTGGAGAGACCAGCCTCCAAAGTCCAAAGATTGTGCTTTTATATGGTTTGGGTGGGATAGGAAAGACCCAAACTGCAGTCAAATTCATTTCAGACTCTGGCTCTAGGTGTGATTCAAGAGGCATAGTTTAGTTGTATATCATATACTCATACTTCTCAGGTTTACAAATCAGTTCAAGATTGATGCAAGCAATGCAAATACTATTGAAGCAGGATACAGGGAAATTGCTAGAATTAAACATCAAGAAGACACAGCAGTGGCAGCGCAAACATGGCTCACAGCTAACACCAATGAATGGCTTATCCTGTTTGATAATGCAGATAATGTGGAGCTAAATCTTTGGGACCACCTCCCTAAGTGTAATCATGGCAATGTTCTGATCACCTCTCGGAATCCAGAGTTAGGTGTACACACAAACCAAAAGTCTATCAATGTGTCTGATATGTCCCTGGATGAAGCAAGTGATGCTATATGTAGCATAGCACATATCAGTAATAGGAAAGCAGCAGCAGAACTTGCAAAGGTAAGAACATTGATGTGAGTGGTATGAAATATTGGTGTTAATGTTAGGTATAGGAGCTGCATTGTTTCCCATTGGCATTGGCCCAAGCAGCTGCATTCATATTACAATATGAGTACTTACGCCAAGATCCCTTGCAGTACCTTGTCATTTATAACAAGAACAAGGAAAAGTACTGGCAAGAAAGACCAAGACAAGTAGCTTGGAGCTACAAAGATACAGTTTATACCACCTGGAGAGTCAGCTTTGAGGATTTGCCATCTCATGCACAGCAGTTCATGCAAGCATGTTCCTTTATGCATAACAGTCAAATTACTGCATCAATATTCAAAAATGCCTCCAAATATAAATGGGATGAATCAGAATGGGAGGACCTAGAGGTAGCTGGACAAATGCCACAACCCCTAGCCCTGGCAATGCAGCTTTTGTCCAATTTTTTAGATGAGGAACAAAAGTGGGATGAACTTCTGTTTGAAGGAACTATGAAACAGATAGAAGCATATTCATTGATTGGCTTGAGAAAAGATGGCTATTATATTCACCCATTAGTGCATCAGTGGACTAGGACAACACTAGCACAGCCAGAGAATTGTAAGAGTATGCTTGTCAATCTATTAGGAATGTCTGCAGAAGAGACCACTTTGCCTTATGAAATAGGAGTACTGGCACAGCATTTCAAGGCAGCAACCACAAAGCCAGAACATTTGCCTTGGCGATGGCAAAATACAAGTACCAATATATACTATAATGCTGGCTTCTTTAGTGATGCAGCAGCTATGGGTGAGAGCCTTCTGAGACAACAAAAGAAGCAGCATGGGGACCCAAACCCTCAATACATACTTCAGGCCAAATCAAACCTTGCATTAGCTTTTCATGGTCTTGGCAGGTATGCTGAGGCACAGAAAATGCATGAACAGGTCCTTGAACAGCGTATTGTTCAGCTGGGGCCAGACCATCCAGACACTATTCGGACCAGATCTGACCTTGCCACAACTTATTATGCTCTTGGCAGGTATGCTGAGGCACAGAAAATGTATCAACAGGTCCTGGAACAGCGTATTGTTCAGCTGGGGCCAAACCATCCAGACACTATTCAGACGAGATCTGACCTTGCATCAACTTATTATGCTTTTGGCAGGTATGCTGAGGCACAGAAAATGCATGAACAGGTCCTTGAACAGCGCATTGTTCAGCTGGGGCCAAACCATCCAGACACTATTCAGACGAGATCTGACCTTGCATCAACTTATTATGCTTTTGGCAGGTATGTTGAGGCACAGAAAATGCATGAACAGGTCCTTGAACAGCGCATTGTTCAGCTGGGGCCAAACAATCCAGGCACTATGTGGACCAGATCTAACCTTGCCACAACTTATCATGCTCTTGGCAGGTATGTTGAGGCACAGAAAATTCATGAACAGGTCCTGGAACAGCGTATTGTTCAGCTGGGGCCAGACCATCCAGACACTATTCGGACCAGATCTGACCTTGCCACAACTTATTATGCTCTTGGCAGGTATGCTGAGGCACAGAAAATGTATGAACAGGTCCTGGAACAGCGCGTTGTTCAGCTAGGGCCAAACCATCCAGACACTATTCAGACGAGATCTGACCTTGCATCAACTTATTATGCTCTTGGCAGGTATGCTGAGGCACAGAAAATGCATGAACAGGTCCTTGAACAGCGCATTGTTCAGCTGGGGCCAAACAATCCAGGCACTATGTGGACCAGATCTAACCTTGCCACAACTTATCATGCTCTTGGCAGGTATGTTGAGGCACAGAAAATTCATGAACAGGTCCTGGAACAGCGTATTGTTCAGCTGGGGCCAGACCATCCAGACACTATTCGGACCAGATCTGACCTTGCCACAACTTATTATGCTCTTGGCAGGTATGCTGAGGCACAGAAAATGTATGAACAGGTCCTGGAACAGCGCGTTGTTCAGCTAGGGCCAAACCATCCAGACACTATTCAGACGAGATCTGACCTTGCATCAACTTATTATGCTCTTGGCAGGTATGCTGAGGCACAGAAAATGCATGAACAGGTCCTTGAACAGCGCATTGTTCAGCTGGGGCCAAACAATCCAGGCACTATGTGGACCAGATCTAACCTTGCCACAACTTATCATGCTCTTGGCAGGTATGTTGAGGCACAGAAAATTCATGAACAGGTCCTGGAACAGCGTATTGTTCAGCTGGGGCCAGACCATCCAGACACTATTCGGACCAGATCTGACCTTGCCACAACTTATTATGCTCTTGGCAGGTATGCTGAGGCACAGAAAATGTATCAACAGGTCCTGGAACAGCGTATTGTTCAGCTGGGGCCAAACCATCCAGACACTATTCGGACCAGATCTGACCTTGCCACAACTTATTATGCTCTTGGCAGGTATGCTGAGGCATAGAAAATGTATCAACAGGTCCTGGAACAGCGTATTGTTCAGCTGGGGCCAAACCATCCACACACCATTTGGACCAGATCTGTCCTTGCATCCGCTTATAATAATTATCGGTTTCATCAGTTTTGCAGGTTACTCTCCAAGCGGTTAACTACAGCAAAAACTGCTATTGTGTCTTTCAACAAGCGCTAGTCACTACAGTCTACCCCCCTGAGATCTGTTAGAGTTACAAACCCGCACTTTTCTTAACCCTACCAGGGGTGTTTCCATAGGCTTGCACACTTGTCTCATCGTTATAGGCCCTTGTATTTAATTTTTTCATAACAAATACATATAATACTGATACATTGTGAATTCTACATAACCCTTCTAGTTAGTATGGGAGGTGCTGTGAGGGGAGGGAGGGAGGTACACTGCACCTCTCATCCTAACTAGAACTAAACTCCTCAAACTCTCTATGCTGTGATAAATCCTGCTATCGAGTTGCTACAAAGTGAATTAAGTTCAGATAAAAGACCTTAGAGCGACAGGTCTACTCATTGCTGATGTTTCAGATCATCAGCTGTGCTGCGATCAGCATGGTCTAAACAAGACAATTCCACTCTCTGGACTATTCAGGTTCAATGAAGCATTTATATAACACTTCATCAAAGATCAGATTAGTGGCCAAAAGAGAGAAAATTTTGATTAAATCACACAAGACACAAAACCTTCCCACAATTCCATCAAAGTCCAAGACTTGGCAAAAAAAGGGCATATTTGAGGGATGAGTTCTCATTCTTCCTGTTTGTAAAAAAATGCCCATCAATTCAGTGTTGACCACAGTCTAGAATAGACCAGGAAAGGACTATTTTTGTTGATCTCGTTAGTCAGCACATGTCTCAGAATGGACATAAGCCCCAAATGGTCAATTGGGGAGTTATCTGCAGAAGAACAAGTTGAAATATATCAGATCACACACACTACAATCCTGAATTCTAGACTAGGAACAGTTCACAGAGCTGATGTCTACAGGGTCACAGACAATAATAAGCATGCCAAATTCTCCAAAAAGAATTTTGCAGCTCAATAAGTCCTTTCATGTTGCACTCTTCTGGGCATTGGCTAAACATGATTTTTTGGTTGTACCAATCTTGAGGATTATGTTTCAAAAGCCAGTCATAGCCAATAACTGCTCGAGCTTTTCCTAGGCCAGTAACCAGGAATCTTTGCCTTTCTTGGTGAGGTCCAATGCCCATCAGAAGTTCAACATAATGAGTGATCTTGCCCTTGGTGTTTTCTGTGCTATCTGCATTCTTTG